AGCAGCGAAGCGCTTCGGGAACCGACAGCTTCGGCAGTTTTGAGAATGCTAGAACTGTTGCTGCGAGCATTTTCGACAGTCGCAGTCGCAGCAAAAGCAAAAAACAATTGATCAGCAGCGCAGCGCTTCGAACTGCGTTCACTGGCGATAGTCGCAGTCGCAGCTAGAGCAAAAACTGTCGGCTGCCCAACAGCACAGCAGACAGCTTACACAGTTTTTATACCCTGAACCCATTTTCAATGGGAAATCAGGGTATAATGGTTTTGTTGAAATGTATGTAACAGGGAGAAGGAGGCGTGGCAGACCCCACAATGTATATATATTCTTGATCAGGGTGACGAGCTGAGTTGATTTGGCCCTGTCCTTCTGTCTGTCCGTCTGTCCGTATGTATGAACGCGTCGATTTCAGAAGATATAAGAGCTAGAGACTTCAAATTTTTTTTTAAATGTCCGTAATTACAGCGCGCATATCAAGTTTATCATTAAAAATCGATCTTTTTTTATCGATAAAAAACCTTATCGAAAACCAGTTATAAAATTATATCTTCTACACCTCTATTGCTAGTCTCCAAATTTTTAATGTATGCTTACATGCAATTTATACAATTTCGGTTTTTGTTAAAATTAACCCCCCACCTCTAAATTCACCCCCTCACCCACACTTTTGTAAAAAGCGTATTTCAAATACTAGAGACTTGTGCTTTGGCAATTACATGCATATTCATGTTATAATCATAATCTGAATGTTTCATGAAGATCGTACGTCCATAAAAATGTTATTAAACAATTAAGTTCTAATAGTAAGCGCACACTGCAGCCCATGCGTGTTTATGCGTGGGTGCTTGTGTGTGTATGTGTTTGTGTATGTGTGTGTGTATGCGTTTGTGTGTGTATGCGTGTGTGTGTGTGTATGTGTGTCTGTATGCGTGTGTGTGTATGTATGCCTGTGTGTGCGTACGTGCGTGTGAGTGTGCGTGTTTCTTGTGTAAGCTGAAAGACGCGAAAAATTATTGAAATATCTATTGCTCCAAGGGTTCAGGGGATCTCGTAGTCGAGCAGTCTCGACTAGAGCTTTCTTACTTGTTGCTTTGCTTTGTTTTGGTAACTTTTGTAACTGTAATTGCCGAAGCTGTCGATTCCCAAAGCGCTGCGCTGCTGATCAATTGTTTTTTGCTTTTGCTGCGACTGCGACTGTCGAAAATACTCGCAGCAACAGTTCTAGCATTCTCAAAACTGCCGAAGCTTTCGATTCCCGAAGCGCTGCGCTGCTGATCAAGAAATGTTTTTGCGTTTGCTGCGACTGCGACTGTCGAAAATACTCGCAGCAACAGTTCTAGTAATAATAACTTTTTTTGTGGACATACGATCTTAATGAAAATTTTAGATTATGATTATAACATGGATATGCATGTATTTGCCAAAGCACAAGTCTATAGTATTTGAAATACGCTTTTTACAAAAGTGTGGGTGAGGGGGTAAATATAGGGGTGGGGGGTAAATTTTAAGAAAAACCGAAATTGTATAAATTGCATATAAGCATACATTAAAAATTTGAAAACTCTAGCAATAAAGGTGTAGATGATATAATTTTATAACTGGTTTTCGATAAGGTTATTTATCGATAAAAAGGATCGGGATGAGTTATCGATTTTTAATGATAAACTCGATATCCGCGCTGTAATTACGAACATTTAAAAAAAATTGAAGTCTCTAGCTCTTATATCTTCGGAAATCGACGCCTTCAAACATACGGACAGACGGACAGACGGACGGACGGACAGACGGACAGGGCCAAATCAACTCAGCTCGTCGCCCTGATCAAGAATATATAACTTTGTGGGGTCTGCCACGCCTCCTTCTGCCTGTTACATACATTTCAATAAAACCATTATACCCTGATTTCCCATTGAAAATGGGTTCAGGGTATAAAAAGGGAAAATGTAATAATCTGAAATTGTAATAATCCTCTTTTAACTTCCTTAACTTCCATGAATGAAATAAATATATTGTCATAACCACAAATGAATACTAAATGTATGGAACTATGAATGCTTTGAATTAACTTGAAGGTGGATATCGATGGCCCTCTTTATGCTAATTTATGGACTATGGAAGTATCGACTATAGATAGTAAATTTATATTGGATAAATATCATTATATTGGGCAATTTATATTGGATAAATACCATTATATTGTACAATTTATATTGGATGAATATCATTATAATGGACATATGCACCCTGATCTGCGGGACGCAGATATGTAGATGGGGAAGAGTTAAGACCATTGACAATCTAAGGAGGCTGGAGAGTCCAGTCAGACATTCAAAGGGAAAACCTAACCAGTTGAACAGATTTAGTTCAGTTTATATTCGGACTAGAGAGAGTTTAGACCTATTGTTCCAAATTATATAAAATATATTATTTCATTGAACACAAAGTTGCTATATATTCACAAGAACCCAATACAGCGTCCCCAATCATTAGTACTCTAGTGTAGGAGCGCTTAACTTGCATGCATTTGCCAAAGCACAAGTCTCTACTAATTGAAATACGCCTTTTACAAACATGATGGTGAGGGGGTGGATATAGGGGTAAAATTTAACAAAAATGCATATCACCATACATTTAAAATTTGGCCACTGTAGCTCCAAAGATGTAGACGATATAATTTTATAACTGATTTTCGATAATTTTTTATGGATAAAAAAGATCGGGACTATTAAACAATTAAGTTCTCATAGTAAGTGCACACTGCGCCCATGCGTGTTTATGCGTGGGTGCTTGTGTGTGTATGTGTTTGTGTATGTGTGTGTATGTGTTTAGGTATGTGTGTATAAGAGTTAGAGATTTGAAATTTTTTTCTAGGTCCATGTGTATCACGGGCATATCAAGTTTTTCTTTTTATATCGATAACTACTCCCGATATTTTATTATCGATCAAAAACCTTATCGAAAGCTAGTTATTTAATTATATCTCCTACACCTTTAGAGCTAGAGCTTCCAAATTTTAAATGTAAACTTATATGTATTTAATATAATTTCGGTTTTTGTTCGAATTTACCCCCCACCCCTATATCCACCCCCTCACCCTTACCTTTGTAAAAGGCGTATTTCAAGTACTAGAAACGTGTGCTTTGGAATGTACATATATTTTCACAATATGATTACGCTCATTAAGATTGTACGTCTAGAAATAAAATTAATCAACAAATAAATTCTTATAATGTTGCCCACACTACAGCGCAACCCAAGCGCAGTCGCTGCTTACTGCGCAGTTAGCAGAGCGCGTTCTAATACGTGCGTGTGTGTGTATGTGTGTCGAAAAGAAATGCAGACTGATTAGAATATCAGATTAGAGGGTTCAGGGTATCTCCTAGTCGAGCAGTCTCGACTAGAGTCTTCTTACTTGTTAATGATAAACTCGATATTCGCGCTGTAAAGACGGACATTTAAAAAGAAGTAAGAAAGCTCTAGTCGAGACTGCTCGACTAGGAGATCCCCTGAACCCTTCGAGCAATAGCTGTTTCAATCATTTTTCGCGTCTCTCTGCTTACACAAGACACACAAGCGCACACACACACACACGCATACACACACATATACACACTTCATACACACACACACACACGCCTAAACACGCATGGGCCGCAGTGGTGGCTTACTATGGGAACTTAATTGTTCATTTACATTTCTTGTGGATGTACTTTCTTCATGAAACTTTCAGATTATGAATATAACATGGATATGGATGTATTTGCCAAATCACAAGTCCCTAGTATCTGATATATGCCTTTTACAAATGTGATGGTGAGGGGTGAATTAGGGGTGGGGGTAAATTTTGACAAAAACCGAAATTGTAAAAAATGCATATAAGTATACATTTAAAATTGGAGACTCTAGCTTTAAAGATGTAGGATATATAAATTTATTACTGGTTTTCGATAATGTTTTTAATGGATAAGAAAAAAAAACGGGGCAATTTATCGACATTTAAAGCTAAACTCGATATGCGCGTGCTATACACGGACCTAGGAAATTCAAGTCTCGAGCTCTTATATCTTCTGAGATCGACGCGTTCAAACATACGGACAGACGGGCAGGGCCAAATCGAATCAGCTCGTCGTCAAGAATATATATATTTTATGGGGTCTGCCACGCCTCCTGTTACATTTCAACAAAACCAATATACCCTGATTTCCCATTGAAAATAGGTTCAGGGTATAATAAGCAAATTTGCAGGGGAAAAAAATAAACACGTCTCTCTCCTGGCAAATTTGGAACATATATTCGTATTTACCCTCAATTTATGAAGTGTTGAAAATTTCCTGATCTATCCAATAAGGGCGTGGCAAATTGGAAAATTTGTTTTCCAATATGCCAGAAATCAAAGTTATTGAAAAGATATGAATCTGAGATTTGGAATATGAATCAAAATGCAATGGCGGCAAATCAGGTAGATCTGTGTCTTCTACAGAACGTTAGAACGCTTATATTGGACGATTCTATAAGATCGATGATTAAATTATGTGTGGAAAATCGGATCTAAAGATATAATGATTTTCCAAATTCCGCTATATTTTGGGTCCTATTAATATTAGATATCTGAATTCATTGGGCTTGAATATAATCATATCTTGTACATTTGACGAGCTAGAGTGTTCATATTTTATGTGAATTTTATAGAGTAAGGTGAGGTGTAAATTTGTTATATTTTGGATGCCGGTCTCATTTGCAAATAACTTATTTATGAATTTTATTGTGAAAATCAGGGAATATAATAATAGTTATTTAACAAAATAATAGCGTAGTATTGCTTTAACTACTACTACGTTTGTAGGCGTGTGTGTTCCGGCAAATGTATTATCCGTTATTAAAAGGGTTCAGGGATATCAAGAGCGGTCTTCATTAAAGCAAGGCATTTGTATTAAGACACAAATTTTGGATTTGATTTTGTTTAACATAATACATCTAACAATCCTATTTTTTTTTTTTTTTAGAATTCAAATATTTTGGAATTAAAATTGGATGAGATTTTGAAGTCTTCATCAGAAGCAATTGCTGCAAAAGCACTGACTGAATTGAGCAAATCATCAAAAACTAGATACAGCCAACAACAAGCCATTCATGACGATGGTTTTCAGTCTAGTAGTATAAAAAAAGGAACTGGAAAAGAAATTAAAGACAGTCGAGAGCATAAAATATATTCTAATTTGATCGAAAACCCACAACAGTCTTTTGAAAAAAATGAATCTGAGTCACTAGTTCAAGCTGTCACACAGAATCCCAAAGAAGCAGATGGTAGTTTTGAAGTAGATAAAAATCTGGACTTACATAACAATGATTCAGATATTGAGCAATATAAGAATTTGCAGCAGCAATTAGAAACTGCGGCAGTGCTTATGACTATAAGTAAAAAAATTGTCATATCACCTCCATGCTCGAATCGTCAATCTCCATGTCTTTCTGCAGTTGTAAATACAAGTATTAAAAGTTCTGTGATAAAATCAAAACGTCCATCTATTAATAATGATATACAGGATGGTGTTGAAATAGACTTATCTGTTAAAAAACCGAAAAGTTCATATAGCAGTAAACTGAATATAGTCCCTACAACAAGTAACTTTTCCCATCCCCATTTACTTGCTGCTGATATAAATCCGTTAATCACCGATGACAGCTTTAAGAAGTGTAGTATTACTCTTAATGAAGTTGGACCGTCTAACTACCAATTGAATACAAAAAACCTACAACCTGAAAGTATTGCTGCGTCTTGTCTATCGGCCTCGGAAGACAGTTCTGATTCTAATAAATTAGAGATGGACATTGCATCTACTATGTATGACAGAAAGACTCCTGAAAGTGTAAATTCGGATCATGCCACAGATGCTGCTACAACTCAACTCTGGCAAGCATTAGCTCGTTCTGCAGGTAAGTTCAAATAATTATAATTGCAAATATTTTATCTAAATGTTTTGGTTAGAAGGAATATATTCTATCCTTTGTATTGAAATAAGAAATAATGTAATTATTTTTCGTTCAGAAATTCATTAATTTTTACTGGATACATATATGTATAACTTTTCTTATAAATGGACTATCTTCATGAATCTTTCAAATAACATTAAAGTTCGTCTCTAATATTTGAAATACTCCTTTTACAAACCATTAATATATGGCGAATACAGCTGAAAAGGTGCTGTTTTCTAATTGATAACAAAACAACGGGAGTAAACTCGATATGCATTGTTACATTTAACAAAACAATTATAACCTGATTTCCGTAATGTCGGATATATGTAAGCGTGGCAAATCGGGTAAAACTGTATCTTCTACAATTTTAAAGCTATATCGCTGAAAAATTCCGTGTTAGATAATGTTATGATTCTATAAAGATAAATTATATGTCCATGTCCATTAGTCAGTGCTGCCAACTTTTCCGGGATAGAAAATGGTAAATTAATCTTTCAAGCCTGCTAGAAATGGCTAGATCAAATTCAAGAATAGCCATTTCAGTTTTTTACCCTGAACCCATTGAAAATGGGAAATCAGGGTATAAAAGTATATTGAAGCTAGAGACTTGAAATGTGGAACACATACTCGTGTGTATCTCCTATTTATAAGGTGTTAAAATTTGCCCGATCCGCTCACTATGGGCGTGGCAAATCGGAAAATGCATTTCACGAAATTTTACACATCGATTCTATAAAGATGGGTGAAATAAATTTATATCTACGCCTACTAGAGGCGTGGCAAATCGGACCTGAATAGTATAGTGATTTTTCGAATTCTGCTATATTTTAGGCACTATTGATGCTAGAGACCTGAACTTTGGTATATATACGCAGGTTGACCACCCAAGTTCAACGAGCTATGATAGATATATGTCCGCCCATTGGCGGCGTGGCAAATCGTAAAAGTTTATATATAAAATATAAATGAAATACAAAACTCACTTAATAAAATATAAACAAGAAGGCTCCAGTCGAGACTGCTCGACTAGGAGCTGATATTTTAATCATTCTGCACTTCTTCTATGCACACATACATACACATGCACTTATAAGCACGCGCTCTGCTAACTGCGCAGTAAGCAGCGGCTGCGCTTGGGCTGCGCTGAAATGTGGGCAATATTATGACAATTTATTTGTGGAATAATATCTTTTGTAGATATACAATCCTAATGAAACTTTCAGAGCGTAAGCATATGGTTAAAATGTGTGTACACTCCAAAGCACAAGTCTCTAGTACTTGAAATGCGTTTTTTATAAATTGGTGGCGAAGGGGGCGTGGCAAAATCTGTAAATTACAAAATCTTTGTGCCCATTAACTCTATATACAACGCAAATTTGAAGTCTCCAGGTTTAAAAGTGTTCAAACTAGGCTGAAAAAACCACGTCGATCTTTCGATTATTCTCGATAAAAAGTTATCGGATGAGTTATCGAAAAAATAAAGCTAACTCGTACTGTGTATACCATACACGAGTATGCATGCCAAATTTCAGCTCTCTAGCTCTTATATTCTGAGATCCTCATACGGACGGACGGACGGACGGACAGGGCTATATCGACTCAGCTCGTTGTCCTTTTCAAGAATATATATACTTTATGGGTTCTGCGATGATTCCTTCTGCCTGTTACATACTTTTCACAAAACCATTATACCCTGATTTCCCATTTTCAGGGTATAAAAATATTTTGAACCAATTAAAACAAGTAAGAACGCTGCAGTCGGGCTTGACCGACTGCGGAATACTCATTCACATCCCATCAACAATTTAGTAGTTAGGTTTCGCTCTAATATTGTAGAATATACAGGTTTTTTCGATTTGGCACGCCCCAACTGGGCGTAGACACCTCATTTTTGGTCAGTTTTTAGAAAGAGATAACGGTACCCTAACTGCAAAGTTTGAATGCTTACCCTCAAAAAAGTAAAAATTACAGGGTATTTTTCGATATGCCACGCCCCTAAAGAGGCGTAAAAATTATTTTTGGGGAATCGATAGAGGAGGCTACCAGTAACTCAACTAACCAAATTTGAAGCTTCTAGCTATTATACTTTCGGAGATATAAACTTTTGCGGTTTGCCACGCCCCCTGTGGGCGGACATATATACGAAAAACCTTTGTAGTCTTGGGTGATCAGTCCGAGTATATATACAAAATTTGAGGTCTCTGGCATCAATAGTGTCCAAAATATAGCAAAATTTAAAGTCACTATCTTAAGGTCCGATTAGCCACGCACCTAATGGGCGTAGGCTTATAATTTTAGACTTTAGACTTTATGGAATCATAGCATTAGCTGACGTGCAAAATTTCAGCATTCTAGGTTTACAACTTTAGGAGATACAGTCTTAGCCGATTTGCCACGCCCCCAATGGGCGGAGATATATCCGCCATAGCTCGTGATCTTGGGTGGTCGGTGTTCTTTAACTAACATGATTTCTGGTATATCGGAATATGCATTTTCCGATTTGCCACGCCCCTAGTGGTCGGATCGGGAAAATTTTAACACTTTATAAATCGGAGATATACACGAATATGTGTTCCAAATTTCTCTAGCTTCAATAGCGCTGAATTTGATTGCGTTCATACGGACAGACGGACGGCCGGACGGACATTGCACAAAACTAATATACTAATTCACTTTCGTGAATGAGTATAAAGAATTCACTTTCGTGAATGAGTATAAAAAATTTGAAGCCTCTAGCTCTTATATCTTCGGAAATCGACGCGTTCATACATACGGACAGACGGACAGACGGATGGACGGACAGACAGACGGACAGGGCCAAATCGACTCAGCTCGTCACCTTGATCAAGAATATGTATACTTTGTGGGGTCTGCCACGCCTCATTCTGCCTGTTACATACATTTCAACAAAACCATTATATAAAAACAAGTAAGAAGGCTCCAGTCGAGACTGCTCGACTAGGAGATACCCTGAACCCTCTAAGCTGATATTTTAATCATTCTGCACTTCTTTTATGCACACATACATACACATGCATTCACACGCACGCATAAGCCTGCGCTCTGCTAACTGCGCAGTAAGCAGCGACTGCGCTTGGGCTGCGCTGCAGTGTGAGCAATATTATGAGAATTTATTTGTTGAATAATTTCTTTTGTAAACATAGGATCTTAATAAAACTTTCAGAGCGTATTCATATGGTGAATATGTGTGTACATTTTAAAGCACAAGTCTCTAGTACTTTAAATGCGTTTTTTACAAATTGGGGGCGAAGGGGGCGTGGTATCCAAAATCTGTAAATGACAAAATCTTTGTATCCATTAACTTTATATACAACGCAAATTTGAAGACTCCAGGTCTAAAAGTGTTCAAATTAGGCTAAAAAAACAAAATCAATTTTTCGATTATTCTCGATAAAAAAGTTATCGGATTATTTATCGAAAAAATAAAGCAAACTCGTACTGCGTATGGTACACACGAGTATGCATGCCAAATTTCAGCTCTCTAGCTCTTATAACTTCTGAGATCGACGCACTCATACGGACGGACGGACGGACGGACGGACGGACGGACGGACAGACGGACAGGGCTATATCGACTCAGCTCATCGCGCTGATCAAGAATATATATACTTTGTGGGGTCTGCCACGCCTTCTTCTGCCCGTTACATACTTTTTCACAAAACCATTATACCCTGATTTCCCATTTTCAATGGGTTCAGGGTGAGTTCTCAGTGAGAGTTAACAGACGTGTTTACTATTGTGCTCTTCAATTATTCTTGTTTTCTTAGTTAATTATTTTTATTAAATTTCACATAATTGCGGTTCGGTTGTATATAGCAAATATCTATATTATCCTGTGCAAGGTTTGATCCGTTGTTCACTGCGTTTTTAATAATTTGCTTTTTTAATTTGTGAAGCTTTGTGTGCAGTGTTCATTAGTTTCATTATTTGCATTTTTGCTTTAGTGTTTCTATTTGTTGGTGCTCTCCCCAGTTCACTCTTTCTAAGTTTGTGTGAGTGTGTGCATAAGTTGCTCTCACTATCTACGGTTGTTGTATTTGCCTCTCTTGAATCTTTGATTTTTGTGGTGTGCAAGTATACTCTCTCGCTGAGGACTTTTGATCTGCTCCGTAACGGCTGTTTTTGTTGTTGACTCGCTCTCTCAACATATATTTTCGTTGCGCTCTGTAACGGCTGTTTGTTGTTGGACTCGCTCTCAACACATTTATACCTCTCTTTGTTGTGACATTTCTGTTTACATTCAGTAATTTTGTGATCTATCCCGATTGCCAATATGAGTTGCTGCAAAAAAGCTTGCACTTTCAGGCAAACAGTTGATTCTGCACAAGCGCAATTTATAAGTTGCTGGCTGTGTGATAACATGATGCATACTAAGTGTGCAGGTCTTACTGGGCGTGAATATGACAAGATTATGTCTACTACTAAAGCTGGTAGTGGAGGCATACGCTGGTCTTGTCCGATTTGTTTGGAAAAACAAATAAACTTTTCTAAAATGTATAGTGCTGTGAGGTCTCAGTTTTTAAAACTGAAGAAGATTTCTATGCAGTTGACCAGTGACATGGCTGCTGCTGAGGAAATCTTAAATCAGTACGGCTTTGAAAGTCCTCTCTCTCAATTGGATACTCCTTTGTTGTCGGTAACTCCTTCTGTAATAGTACCGTCACCTAATTCGCTTGCTCCTCCCTCACCTTGCGCTTCTGTTTTGTCGTCGGCTCCCAATTCTCTAGATCCTCCTTCACCTTGTCCCATATCTGTTTCTCCTATTGACGCTTCTATTGAAACTCAAGCCCCTGTCCCAAATTTGGATGCTACTTCTATTGTTGCTCAAACAAAGAGTGACAATAAGTCAGCCTCTCATAGCATTACCTTATCTGTTGTCTCTCCTAGAAAGCAAGTTTTCTTATCTAGGCTTTCATCTGACACTACCATTGAGGCAG